TCTCTGACGCTCCGCGGCCAGCCGGCAGCATCTCTGGCGTCTTGATTTATCGCGTGACGGCCGATTATGATATGGAAAGTTGCTTCCCCCGGCGAAGAGAGTACGTACGAGGCGAGCTAACGAGCATAACCGCCTTGTGCCGATTCGCGCTTTTGCAACTGCGTTTTGAAACGGTTTCCCGATCGCGATTCGCGACACGCGCCTCGCCACCACAGCCGCCGCCGCCGCCGCCGGCCGGCTGCTATCGAGCGTGGCACGTCTGCCGGATGTAACGTCGCAACGCATCGTTCCGCGGCTACCTCCTACGCGTAGATATCGACGCGATTAATATCGAGATGCACACGAAAGGAAGTCGCCCGGCTGCTGCCGAGTCGAATCGAGAATGGCCGCTTTGCACAGAAGCGCGAAAACGGACAGGAAAATGGGACGGAAAATCGCGCGGCTCTCTGAGGCGGAAATGGATTGTTGAAACGATCATTCAAGTTTGATTGTTACACTTTACTTTGTAACGTCAACCGATTACGTTGTTTCGCAGCGAGGACTTTTGAATCGAGTGAAAAAGTCCATTTTTCCACGTCCCTTCGCGTCGGTGGATTCTCGCATTTCGTTCGCACAGCTCTCTCTCTCTCTCTCTCTCTCTCTCTCTCTCGTCTGTGCTTTCACGATCGACCGATCGATACGAGAGATTCCTAGCGAGTTCCTCGGAGCAATCGAGCTGCAAGGCTGATACAACGCGGCGACAACAGGCGCGCCCGCCTGCTTTCGGGGATTCGATCGGCGAGGAATTTCTTTCCGAGAAGCGGCGAATCGTCACCGACACCGCGTGATTTCACGAGTCGCGCGATCGCCGGCTACGGGCGCCGGCATAATGCCGCGTTCTTATTCCCGACGTGACTTCCTCGCCTTTTCCGTCGGCGTTGCGCTATGTAATTGGGTTACGAGAACGACCGTGTACGTTGTTGCGCGAGCGCGCTTCCACCTTGACAGCTCGTCGATACTTATCCGCGCGTCCCACCGTGTATACGGTGGCCTCCTCGGCGACATTACGCCGAGCGTTCTCGTTCGCTCACGGGCTATTTTCCGTCGCTTACCTCACCTCACTCGCGCGCGCGATAAGCCTTCTTCGCGTTTCTTATCAGCGGCTGCTCGCGCGAATGCTCGCGAATGACCCACCGCGCGATACTCGCCAATCGGAAACAGCTGAGGACATTTCCAAACGTGCAAGCTCACCGCCGGCGGATCGCGATCCGGCAAATCGCAGGCTGCGGCAGGCTCCGCAGGTAAAAGGACGAGTCTCCGAAATAGTTCGACACGTCAGGCACGCACGATTCTTCGACCGAAGCCGCCCGCCGCCGGGAATTTCTCGCGGCGGCTTCGGTCGATCGGCGCGCTTCTCCGCCGGAGAGCGACGTCGTGTAATTACCCGCTGCTCCATATACCGCTCTCTCGCGCCTCTCGTCGCGGCGCGGGACCGAGACGCGCGGATCGTTCAATAATAAATCGCCAATAACTCCGTTCCAGTTCCGTCAAGATGACCCAAATAATACGCTTTTCGACCGTCGCGCGGCAATAATCGGTGACAATTATGACAGCGTGTGGGTAGCGCAATGGGGGTTATTGGGCCGCGAAGGAGACGAAGGAGGAAAGGAAAAAAGAAAAGGGAGAAAAAAATCGCGATAGCCACGGGGGAGGGGGAGGGGGGAGGGGGGGGACTGGTACGTTTTTGGATAATGACCCACGCGCGGCCGAGCGCGTCTCGCATGAAACGGATAATTCAAGTGGGTGCAACGTGATTAATTAACGTTCTACGCCGACCGGCCGGCTGACCGACCGACAGAGACCGGCTTTTATATCTCGCTGATCGCGCTCGCTCGACGTTTCGTACCGCCGTGAAACTGATTAATTAAGTAACAACTGTCCGGATCACCGACGAGCCTTTATCGCGCCGAGCGCGAACCGCGGCGTCGCGTAGCTTCGCGTCGCGTCGTATCGCGCGCGTAATACTTCGGCGCTGACCGGCCGGGAGAAAGTTTGGTCTTTCGCAAGGGAGGAAAAACGCCCGGTGGCGGCGGCGGCGGCACACGTCGATCTCTTTTGCAATGAATTTTCCACAGACACGAGAGAGAGAGAGAGAGAGAGAGAGAGAGAGAGAGAGGGAGAGGGAGAGAGAGAGAGAGGGGCCCAGTTGCGAGAGCGCGCAACGTGTTATTATCGCGCTGAATTCTGGCTCGTCGCGTAACGCTTAACGATCGTTTAATTGCCGCGCACCGAGTGTCGTGTAACCGCGTTTAATTAACCTTGCGAAGACAAGATCCGCGGGACGCCGCTACCCGCACGTCGTCGTCGTCGTCGCCACGGCACTCTCTCGCATCGCGCTCGTTCGACGAGTATCACGCTGCACGTTTGCCGTGCGGATATTAATACGTAATTAATAATTGCCGTTGACGTCGAGCGTGTACTTTCACTCTGCGACGCGCGTGTCTAATTTCTGCACGCACAAACATGATTTGCATACAACGAGCGTCTGTCAGAATAATTTTCGTCGAATGTAAGCCGAAGAATGTTGCCTTCTTGTGCCCGGCACGATGATGTTTCAATCACGGACAGATCAGAATTAACTTTTGCGCACACATGATTAATTAATACTCGGATGAGAAAACGTGAATGTGTCGAGAGCGCGTTAACTCGCAATTCGCTTCGTTCGGACGGATATTCGAAGGATGTTGAAGCAACGTCGCGAAACGTCAGTAAATGCGGGAATGCTTGGGAGGAAGTGCGTGAGGAAAGTCGACGAGTCGCAACGGGTAGAATCCCGCCAATGGTACATCGTCTCGCAGGGTTAAAGAGCGGAAACGAGCGCTCGTTGACACATCGCCGCGGTATCGATTGATAAAAAGAGACATCGGTACGCACTTACAGCGAGAGGACATGCCGATGTTCGAGTTTCACTCGTTCGCTCGTGCTTCACCGACTCTCCATTATCATCCGTTCCGGCGGCAGATGGTAGATGTCTACGACTCTAATTGCCCGGGAACTTGCCCAGGAAGACGGCCTCCGCGTCCGTAAATTAATGCCCACCGGTATATATCGAGTCGGTCCATTAAACAGCGCTTGCGCGATCCCGCCGATTAAGCAGACAGCAGACGTCGATGGGGAAATCACCGTCGGCGCGATGCGCGCTCACGGCCTCCGAGGCAGTTGAATTTGCGCGCCGCGCTCGGTCGGTTACGCAGGTGCGGGGAAACACAGCGAGAAAGGCGCCGGCAGGCGGCGCCATGAGATTAGGCGATCGACTTACCGATCATGGCAAGCCGGGAATCCCCGTTTAGAAATCGCTCCGATCGCGTCCGCTCCCGAGCCTCCGAGGGTTTCGCACGGCTGACAGGTTTGAGAACGCGCGAATGCGCGCAGCTCTGCGAACGAGAGAGAGAGAGAGAGAGAGAGAGAGAGAGAGAGAGAGAGAGAGAGAGAGAGAGAGAGAGAGAGAGAGAGAGACGCCACGAATAGAGGAGGAACTTGCCGTACACGCGAGGATACACGTGGACAAGGAAATCTGTTACCAAGTGAGTGGAGGGAGATTAGATCCGTTGGTAATACAGCGACCTGTTGGAGCCAGTTCTAGTCGTCCGGCACTGCGGGTAAGGCGGGGAAATTCTTCTCGGGGACGGCTGGCTTTGACAAAGGTGTCTTATCGATCCGATTCCTTCAGCGTTGTTACACTCGCGAGGAGCATGTTTGTACGGGAGGACGATCCTTTCGCTCCGGAAGACAAACGCGAGTTTGGGAAGAGACCAAGTCACACCACCTCATCACCACCCGATCGCTCGGATCCAAGCGAAAGACAGGAAGAATCGACGAAAGAGCCGAGCGAGTTTCGTAAATACCCTCCGAGTGCCCTCTCTGGAGTGCACAGCTCGTGTGCGTGTTCCAGTCTCTTTTCTCAGAAACGCGCACGTCACGAGTACACCTGGCCGCGCGCTAAAAGCCTGGAAGCGGCGGCCACGTACGCGGCGAAACGAGTTCCCGGGGGGACGAAAATTACAGCGATCGTATTTTTTCAACAAACGTCACGCGCATCAGCGCGGCGCGCTGCCGGCGCTGGGCGCGCGTAAATCACGCGAATCACCGCCTTCGAGGAACAGTGATAATTAATGCAAACGAATGAGCAGCAGTCTCTCGTAAAGAGCGCGCCGTCCGCTTCTTCTCATTCGGCTTCCACGAATAATTAAGCGGCGAGAAATGAAACCCCGTCCAAGCGCGACGGCGACGGCGGCGGATTAAAATCCCCGCCCCGCCGCGCCGTTGTCATCCCTGCCGCGGTCGCCGTTAATTCGCGCGCGCGGACATTTCGCAGCACGGTGAGCGCGACGCGCGTAACTAGAGGATACCTCGAAGGATATCTTCATCGTCTCACTCACGCGCCTTCTCCGCCCCTCGCGTATTTTTCTCGCAGGGCACTTCCTTCGCGGCTTGGCCGTATTAAAAGCGGGCAGGTGCGCGACAAATAATCATTCCGTGTGTCCCGTCGTTGTCGTGCGACTTCTCCCTCCCTCCCTCCCTCCCTCTGCGCGCTGACCCCCTTCATTTCGCGCCGGCGAGTAAATCAGAAAACGAAAACACGCTCGCGCGCACGTATTTGGCGAGGCATTTGGGTCTCTCTCGGTGTGTCTCTCGGTCTCTCTTTCTCTCTCTCTCTCTCTCTCTGCAACGGCCTCCGCTCGTCACAAAGGAATCCTTTATTATCTCGGCGCTCGTTGCAGCCACCACCTTTCGAGAGTCCTCGGGACGGAATTTCTTTCGCATCGAAGCGTGACGGGCGGCTCAATGGGACGCGAAAAAAGTGAAATCCTCTCTTCTCTTAGGCGAGAGTCTCGATTCCTCCTCGGGGACTCTCCTCTCGATTCCATTAACAACGAACTGTGTGTGTGTGTGTGTGTGTGTGTGTGTGTGTGTGTGTGTGTGCGGACAATCGGCGGGACGCGCGCGCGCGCGGTACTCACCATCGACGTGAAGTAAAACTTCTCGAATTCCCGCTCGTGAAGCCGCGCCGACGTCAGGTTCGTCGCAGTGTGCTGTGCGTGCTTCGACAGGATGTCCTCGCCTTTCTTGCAGAGCCAGGATAATATCTGCAACGGAGAAGAGAAACGTGGTGTGGCTCATCAACTGCGTCTCTCTCGCGCGCCTTATATGTGCCGCGTCGTTTCGGTTTAAAGCTGGCATAGCCCAGCTTCTCATATTCGACGGAAGCTAATTATTTCTATGTGACTCTGGCCACATTTGCAAAAGGTGTTGCTCGCTCGAAAGCGGATGAACTTTGGGCAATGTTATCGTCGCTCACGTGTCGCGCGGCGATACCTTTCGAAGCCGGATCGGGCAGCATGAGAAACGCGCGTCGCGCCGCTCGAGAAAGGCTTGTTGTTGCCTGCCGCCGCCTTTCATCGGCCTTTGGTCGCGTCGATTTTTCAATGAGCGGTAAGTAGCAGACGTGCGATCTGCGACGCGCGCACGAAGCGACGGAGTTTGAAAAATGCAACGCAACCGGTCCCGGAAAGGTCGGGGGACTCTTTTACGCGACGGGCTTTATATATAATAGTGATCTCTCACGCTCGGGCGATCCGCTCGCTCGCGAATTCGTTCAGCAGCGAGGACGCATTCGCCGGCGAAAGTAGACGCGCGTCGTCGAGGGTGGCGGAGTAGAAAAAAGGCACGTCCCTCGGGCGTGACGGCGGGTAAAGACAGCCGGAGGACGGGGGGGGGGGGGCGGACTTATCGTGTTATCGCGCGCGTTAAGGCTCTCGGGAGCCGAGAACGGCGACGCGCCGCGCCGCGCGGCTTCTGCCGACATTGTAAGAATGTCGGTATTTAGCACAGTTGGACAGTGAGTAATCGCCCCGCGCATCCGAATTCGCCGGATAATTAAGGCCCTCCGGCGCGCCGCGGCTGTCCCTGACTTGGCAGTCTCGGCCACGCGGCGGAGTTATTTATGGCGGTCGCACGGTCGCGGAATCGCGCGCGTTCCTGGACTATCGCCGAGGACACATGTCGTCGTCGTCGTCGTCGTAGTCGTCGCTCCGCCATTTATACGCCGCCATTTAAAGCCCGCGACAATAGATAACGAGCTCGTGTGGATCGGCGACTGCTCGTCGTCACGGCCGAAGAGTCTTTGCGTCTTGCGCAATTCTCCCGCTGCGAGAGCATCTCCGCCGACGCTCGACATTTCTCTCTCTCTCTCTCTCTCTCTCTCTGGTTGCGCAATCGCGCCGATCTTCATTATGACGTAACCGTGATCGTACGGCAGGAACGATCCGCTGATAACGATCATCGGGCCACGTCGAATGCGCGCTCTCGCCCGGTATTACCACATTTCCCGTCATGCTCCAGAACTCTCAAACAAACGATGGACGGTATCGCCCGGGGAATTATTGTCCGGGACTTATGACGACTTAATGCTCGCTCGGCCGACGTATTAATCGCTCGTATGGGACGATCTAATAAGAGCGGCGCGCGCGCGCGCTCGTGGCGTCGGGCAAAAATGCAGCGGGCAAAAGTGTCACGATCGCGCGAGGGGGGTGGTCGTTGCTCGTACTTTTGGCCGGTGGTGTTTGCGGACGCATTAGCACCGAAACTCTGTGTGTGTGTGTGTTGCGTAGGTGTACCTAACCAGAAGCGGGAAAGAAGAAGCGAGGACTCCGCCTCTGCCGGTGGAGCTCTTCCGAGGGCAGCACGACTGGTGCGCTGCCCGAGGAGAAATGGAAACCGCCGGCCGATCATAAGCAAACCGCGGCTTATTTGGGTCACTGGGCCGCGTTAGGTAGAGCCGACGATCGAATGTCGTGCATACGTTTCTGTAAGCGGCTCTCTCTCGAGTGTGTGCGTGTAAACTACTTGCGCGATGTGACGTGGGAGCGGGCAGCTGCGGGAATTTCGCGTATCGATTTTGATCCCGCGCGGGTAGCGTTCTATCTCACGCTTAGATCTCTCTCTCTCTCTCTCTCTCTCGCGCGCGCGCGCGCGCTCGACGCACGCACGCACGACGACGCGATTTCTAGGCAAATACGCGAGGAATGGACACTCGCGCATTGTGCGAATCGGAATACCGTTCGCACCTGGCGAACGCATCGCGCTGTGATCGCGGTGAACGAGAGGAGTGAAGGGAGTGTGTACGAGCAGCATATAAAAATGAAGCGCACTCTCCGAAGAGAGTGTACCGTGAGATGTGCAAACGAGCGAGGGCGTTGAAAAATGCCAATGATTTAAGACTCGGGAGTAAAAACATTCGCGGCGCGTCCCAGTAATTGATGACAATCGCCTTTCCACCTGCGAAGCGAACGGTTTGTCAAGCGGAATAACGATGACAAGGGGTTTGCCATTTTTCCCGTTCAGATGAGAGTACGTGTCGGACGGAGCATTGACATTTTTGCAAACTCCTCGGCTTCGAACGTTGAGTTATCGATCGGTCGGGGAGGCAAACGTGGGAAACGAAAGTTAAATCACGCGCTAACTAATGTACACGCTCGCTCGCTCGCTCGCTCGCTCGCGAGCACGCGCGGCGTCGGCTATAAAAAGATTATAATATATCATCATCGGGGGAATTACATGCATTAAAGTGGCCGGCGTTTAAAAAGCCGGCCGTACGAATATTTCACGGCCGACGCAGCGGCGGCCGAGGCAGCGTGACGCTTATTTACCCAATTCCAAATTTCTCGCCGAGCGGCCGCTCGGCACATCGCGAGAGATGCGCCACCGTAATCGAGCCGGGTCTCTGTCGATTACGGATCGACCGGCGGCGGACTACTGGCGAGCGAGAGCGAGGAAAATAAAAAGTCGAGCCGCCGTCGTAAAAGTAACGCGCGGCGCGCATTTCGAAAACGGCTGTGCAAACATCCGGCGGCGGGAAGTATCACAAGGACTCGCGCGGCCGGCACACTCCGCGCATGGCACTTTTTCTGCCGTTTCACGATTTCGCCGGGCCATCGCCGCGACGACGAAGCTGAAAATGCGACGCGAAGGGGGCGAACACCTCGCACGACGACGACGATGACGACGACCTTGTGAACTTGGACAGGAGCACGCGCGATCCCGATCGCGCGCGAGAGGCCTCTCGCGCGTTTCTCCCATATTCCGCGGCTTGCGCGACACACACACACACACACACACACACACGAAGAGAGTCCGTTCTCCGGCTGACCCGGCCCGACTGGACTCGCGCGCTGTTACTACCGAAAGGATCCTCGTGAGACGCGCGCAACGCGCGGGTCCCGTAGCGTCCCGTTAAGGGAGAGATACACGGAAACCTCTTCGATCATAAGCAGACCTTAGGTTATACGGGTCACTGGGCCGTGCTAAGTGAACGACGATCAAATACCGTAAACACGTGTACGTGTGTACATGCACACGCGCGAGTGGACGTGCGCGGCCGCGGCGCGACGGCGAGGTGAGTCAGGTGCGAGCGTGCAAACGAACACGCTGTGCTCGCACCGATCCTCCCCCCTCCCCCCCCTCTGCCCATCCTCCGCCTGCTCCTAGCATGCAGCAGCAGCAGCAGCAACAGCAGCAGCAGCAGCGATCTCACGCGCCGCGACCTCGACGTCGCGTCGGCCGCGCGTGCGTTTTATCTCACCTCTACACGCGCGCGCGCGCGCGCGCAAACGTGCAAACGCCAAAGCGTGCAAACGCGAGCTCGCGAGCGTGCACGCCTAACGGGCGATAGGTATTTAGGTTCCGTCGTGGCGCGCGGCTCTCGGAGCCGCTTCCGCGTGGTGGTGGCATCTTCTCACGCGCGTGGACCGCGCGATCGCTTATCGCTTATGGAAAACGCGCGCGCGCGCGCGCGCGCGACGTGTTCGATTCGACAGAGCCCGTGTGTGTGGCTGTGTGTGCGTGTTTTGTGCGCCGCAAGTCCCATGACTACGCTACAACGCGCGCGCGCGCGCCGGTCAATTATCGCGATACCGTGGCGGAGGGAATGACGCTGAGAGTACGTGGGAGCAGTGACGCGCCATTGTCCACGTGGCTAGGTTCTCCCCGGATTGGTACTCGTCGAGGCTCTCCACGATTCAGGGGGATTACGATTACGAGAGGGTGAACTTGTGTTTGGTCCCCGAAGCGGTCAGCTCGAGCGCGCGCGATTCTCTTTCGCTGTAGGGTAGGAAAAGTAAGCTGGAAGCGCCGAACGGCCGGAACGGCGTTCTATCCACCTTTGGACGTTTTCCGTATTTTGGTTTTTTAAATATAGATATCGCAAAGATATATATGGTCTTCGAAGAGCGAAGCGATAGAAATCAACAGAGACCCGAAGAGACCATCAATGTTGAAGAGTCACACGATCGTGGCACGTCGGTCGGCTCGCCGCACGGTTGTTCAAAATTATTCAAATCCAGATTCAATGTCAGCGCATCGATCTTGCTTTCTCTCTGCATATTGATAGAGACACGTCTGCATACTGATGGATTCGCCGCAGTGAACGCCGACGTGTCTCACCGTAGAAAGAGAAAGAGAGAAAGAGGAAGACATGTCGTTCGAGGAGAAAACTGTGTGTCTCCAAGAAACAGGATGTTTGCTCAAATCTGGAAAAAAAATTCCCTGACTTTTCTCTGATGTTCCAGGGAATCTGTTAAAAATTCCAGGTCAAATGAAAGTATTTTTTTAACCCTCCGCATGATTTTCGTGGGTCTTTCAGGGAACAGTAAAATGAATTTGAATTTACTGTAAAATTTGATTAAATCAGAGCTGATGCCTGTAACTTTCATTTGAGGAAATATTTTTAGGATTTCCTTAGATGGAATTTTTAGACCTCACCTCTCTAAGTCGATCAAAGTCTACATATAAATTCTAATTGTTACTGTTTCCCAAAAATCTACGAATCAAGCAGAGAGGGTTGAGTGTCTTACAAATGAATATATATATATATTTATTGTGCAACTTGTACTTGTATCTTCGATTTATAAAAGTTTAAACAAAACATAAAAATTTGTCGATACATAACAACGTAAGTTACATCACCCAGCGAAAACATAATAAAAATTTACACTGCACTTTAATATTAAAAAAATTTTCGATTATTCTTTTAAAGTCGCAATTTGTTCTCGAAGCGCTTCTGCCTCTTTTTGCGCACTTTCCAAAATTT